CCCCAAAACCCCAAAACCCCAAAACCCCACTGATTGTATTTAAGTCATTAGTAGCTGGTAATATTAATTATAAGTAAGTTAGAAAACACTCATTATTAATAAAAGTATATTAATTTGAGAAATATGGGAGGAAAAGATAAAGGACCTAGTAAGAAGACTGAAATGAAGAAGAAGGAGAAGATTGTCGAGGACAAGACCTTCGGACTCAAGAATAAAAACAAGTCAAAGGCAGTCTAAAAGTACGAATACAAACACACTCTAAATCCTTTGATACTAAACTTATTTTAGGTTTGTGCAGTCAGTCAAAACTCAAGTATTAGCTGGAAATGCTAAGGTATGTATAGAGATTTCCGCGAAATTCAATTTTGTAACCTAATATCTAGGGAGGAGAATAAAAGAGATTAGCTGATGAGTTCAAGCAGAAAGAAGAAAAGAGGAAGGAGGCTGAGCAAAAAGCTCTTCTAGCTTCACTTTTCAAGGGAGTGACTAACATTCAGTAAACAATATTGAGAGAAGGTAATTCAATATCGTAATAGGCAGCATTAATAAGCTTAATATAGGGGAGGACCCAAAATCTGTTCTTTGCGCTTTCTTCAAAGCTGGCGTCTGTGAGAAGGGAAAGAAGTGTAAGTTCTCTCACGATCTTAGCTTAGATGGTAAAGCTGCCAAGATTGATATATACACTGACCCCAGAGATAAAAATGGAAAGGACCCATCTAGAACAGACATTACTTGCTCTCATTTCGTAGATGCAGTAGAAAAGAACTTGTATGGATGGCTTTGGGAATGCCCAAATGGTGGAGATAAGTGTGTGTATACTCACGCTCTTCCAGCAGGCTACGTTTTGAATAGAGATAAAGCTGATGCTAATAAATAGAAGGAAGAGGATGACGATGAATTGACTCTGGAAGAAAAAATCGAAGAGGAGAGAGCCTAACTTGAAAGTACAAAGCTAACACCAGTCACTCTTGAGACCTTCAATGATTGGAAAAAACGTAAAGCAGAGAGAAAGCAAAAGGAGTTAGAAGAGAAGATGAGGGAGGAGAGTAAAAAGGCTGGTTCAAAGGGCCACAACATTCTGAGTGGTAAAGCCCTCTTCAAGTACGATCCAAATCTCTTCATGGATGACGAAAACGCAGCTGATGAAAAGATATATGAGGAGAGAGAAGAGTTCGATGAGGAAGAGGAATAGAAAGAAAGTGACATCAAGAAGTTAAAGGATGCTGAATAGGATTCTGGCATGATCAAATCAAGTGTCGCAGATACAAATGGAGACGCAACAGACAACCAAGAGTCAGTATAGATAGATACCAATGTCGATACAGATCTATTTTAATATGAGGATAATGGATAAGAGGAAGAAGAGCCAGACTTCGAATGATAATTGAGATTTAGTAAAAAATAGAAATTAAGGTTCATAGATAGTTGCTTATATAACTTTGCATTCTTACTTATTTCTACCTATTTGACATATGAACAACTATAAACACTCTTGGGGTTTTGGGGTTTTGGGGTTTTGGGGAGATCGGAAGAGCGT